TAATGGTTTCTATTTTAATATACTTTAAAATATAATTTATTTCTGTGATGCAAAGCTGAATTTCCATCAGCCATCACTCCAGTATAAAGTGTCACATGATCCTTCAGAAATCATCCTAATATGTTGATTTTTGGGGGGGAAAAAAACTTTTTTTTTCATTTTAAATACTGTTTTATGCTCTGGCTAGTTTGTTGTATGTTTTGGATGTCACTTCTCAAGCTTTCTTTGGGGTTTTCGTCCAGGTTAAGGAGGAGCTGTTGGTGGAGGCTCTTACCAAGAGGAAAACTGTGACCGTGAACGACAAGCTGATTCTGCCTTACAGCCACAGCGAGGTGCGCTAGAGCCGTCGCTTTCATACGCCGCTGTTAGCAGAGCGCCCAGGTGTTTTGTAGCTAAACGAGTGTCGTTTTGTGCAGGCGATCACCGCACGAGACTCCATGGCCAAGTCACTGTACAGCGCCCTGTTCGACTGGATCGTCCTGCGCATCAATCACGCGCTGCTTAATAAGAAAGACATGGAGGAGTCCGTTTCGGTAAGATGCTTGAAACTGCAACAATCAGAGTCTGCATTAAGGATGTTCAAGGTCTTACAGTCACGTGGTTTCTCCATTATTTCAGTGTTTATCTATTGGTGTGCTTGATATCTTCGGCTTTGAAGACTTTGAGACCAACAGCTTTGAACAATTCTGCATCAACTATGCCAACGAGCAGCTTCAGTATTACTTCAACCAGCACATCTTTAAACTTGAACAGGTTAGTGGGCTGGTTTGCATGGTCGCAACCTTCAAAAGTCTCCATTTTATGGCAGTTTGATCACAATATGTGGTTTGTCCGCCTGCAGGAGGAGTATCAGGCCGAGGGCATCACCTGGCACAACATCGACTACACCGATAACGTGGGCTGTATTCACCTCATCAGCAAGAAGCCCACTGGACTCCTCTATTTACTTGATGAGGAGAGCAAGTAAGAATTGGTTCATTGCTCTCGGAACTCATTTTTTGGAAAGATAAGCACCAATTTTTGTGCTGATGTACATTTCTTTCTTCTGGTGTTTACAAAATGTATTTTGTACTTTAATTCTTATTAAAGTACAAAAGTTATAATAAAAATAATGTACTGTATGTATTACTATAAAATAAATACTATAAAATCAAATCAAAATAATTCCATATAAATTTTTATTATTATATTATATATTAATAATTAATATTTAAATGTATTTAAAACAAAAGACACCTGTTTTGTAGCATGACCCTGCTAATGTAAATTGCCTCCAACAGGATTTCCGTGAGAAGAACACGGATCACATGCGTCCGGATATCGTGGCTCTCTTGCGAAGCAGCGACCGCGCTTATGTCCGGCAGCTGATTGGGATGGACCCGGGGGCGATGTTCCGATGGGGAATCATCCGCGCCACCATCCGCGCATTGGCCGCCTTCAACGAGGCCGGCCGCCGCTGGGCAGCCAAGACTGCGGGTAACCCATGGAGCATTATGCATTACTTTCAGATTAGTCCAAAACTTTGGATTTTCAGAGACTAAGAAGGTGTTATTTATAGCTTGCATGTAAGAAAGCTGCCTGGTGACGCAAACAGTCTTATTTAGAAGGATTTCAGAATGATTCAACTAAGAAGGGATAATAAAAATAAGTGAGTAAGGTTGTTTGCGAGACGTTTTGGGTGGGGTGTTGAAATCACGCTGTCAACGCTGTTTGTTTGTGTGTTGACATACAGGTGTGGTCCGACCGAACTCCAGAGTTCCTCTAGGAGAGCTGCAGAGATCCAACGTTCCCATTGAGAGGATGTACCGGTAAGTTTTGGGCTAGAAAAGAGAGAGAGAGAGGAAGTGTTGTGAGGAACTTGATCTCCTCCTGTCCTTTCGTTGCCTTTGTGTGGCAGGTGATCATGTGACCGTGCTCTCTCCACAAAGGCACATTGCAGGCCGATTTCTCACAGTAATCTCATGCGCTTTGTCCCATTTATGCCAATACAAAATATAACAACAGCATCTATAATGAAAAACATGACCAGGTTATATTTCATCTCAAAATCCAAAGAAAAAAATAGGAAATATCAACATAATAAAATAGCATCATAATAAGTAGACAATGCAAGAAAAATAAACATTTAATTTATTTAAATACCACTATATTAATCATTTCATGTGAATCACAATCAATTGTAGACAATACAACAAATCCAATTTAAAATGAAAATTGGGTGAGATGTGCTTAATTGTCACGAAAATATCATAGTATCATTGTTTCATGGTCTGTAAATTTTATGCAAAATGTAATTTCTAACATTTTTTTATTTTTATTTTGTGGTGACATGACCTGGACATGTCTATGACAGATTAGAAAGAATGATCACGTTAATAAATGTACTTGTTCCTGCAATGTCCCTGTGCTTTTCCTCTGGTGTTTGTCAAGGGTTTCCCCTCAGTTACTGACCTGTGATCAGTTTAACTAAAGTTGAACCCGTACGGTCAATAAAGCTGGTCATAGATCAGCACCTGCTGGTGCCGTTCGCCCTCGAGTGACTGTGTGTGTGTGTGTGTGTGTGGTGTTTATTTTCTACAGCCATGCTCCTATGCTTGATTTCTCCTTTGATCATTCAGAGGAGTGCCCTCTAGAGGCTTTTGAGGACATCTTTGCTAGTTATGAGAGTAAGAAGTAAGTGGACTTGAGCAGAACATTGAGGTCAGACAGGGAGAGCTTGGTGGCTTGGGAAGGCTGGGTTTCCGGTATTCTGAGCAAACTCAAATTCCACATTCAGATGTTCGCAGAATCCAGAATCTAGCGCTTTTCTCTCTTTATGTGATCAAAGGGCAAGCCAGAGTTTGTATTTAACCTGGTTTGTTCAAAGAAATCCGCAATCCACAACATGCACTCATAAATCCCAGTTAGGACCTTGTGAGGTTTATTACCTCTAAGTACTCCCAAGTGGGAAGGAAACCATAAAGAGTCCTTTTATGGAGTTTATTATGGAAGCGAGTTCGCTTCCTGGTTTGTTGACGCGCTATTAGCAGTGCGTTCCCAGCCCCCAGTGCCAATCCTACCTGTTTGACCTCCTGTTGTTCTGATCCGAGTGGTAAGTGAACCAATGCATGAGTCCAGGCCTTTGTTGAGTGGGGTGCCGACCCCCGTTTTAACACCCCGTCAGGTCAAAACCAGAGTAACAACAGCATGGATTCACCACTGAAGCTTGAAGGAATAGTTCACCAAGTTAAAGACCTTTTCGAATTTAACACACTTGCCTGCATTTGTTCATTGTACGTGATTCCTTTTTGTGGTGGAGGGTGTTTCCCTGGCCAAAAGTCGGTTAACAACATTGGTGTTGGGTTCCTGTACTTTCCCTTCCCCGTTCAACTTACCTCACTCCCTCTGTCTCCTCCCCCTACCATTTCACCGGGCTGAATCAGGGACATGCATGCCCAAATCATCAACTCCATTAAGGACTTGCAGTTGGATGGAGAAGATCCACGTAAGCTGCTGCAGTCCTGGGGTCGCCTGCGGTTCCCACGCCACGTCCTCCAGTGAGTTTGACCGCTGACTCCCCTCTGGCTCGGAATGGATGGGTCCACCTTGCTGACCCTTCATGCCTTGACATCATCGGTTGGCATCGAAGCCAATGCTTGAGGCCCTTTGCTAAGCTTAGTTCTGAAACATTCCCTTCTCCCAAACTTTGCCAAATATGCAGTTATTTATCGGCTCGCCCTGTGATGTACTGTTTAACCCCAACCGCCCTTTTAACCCTGCACTAATAATATCCATCTAACAAGTATGCCAATTTATTTTTAGATGGCGCCCCAGTGGTGTATGTTAGAGGAATGCAGAGTTTATGAGCTGAAAGCAGTGTGATCTTCATTAGCGCGTGCGCTCAGAATGGTATCCACATGCTAGCATGCTGCATGAACTTATACGAGACCAACCCATTGAGTCTGTAATGTTTTATGAGCTTCAGAATCATTGCTTATAAAGACCACAGACATCGAATACACTTGAATTACAAACTTGTCCTCTTATAACTGTCGTTCACCCTAAAGTAGGAATGCCGTAGATTAGTTCTGTCAATAAAAATGTCCATCATTCCTCCCTTCCATGATGTTTTTATCTCTCCCGAAACCATCTTCTCTGTTATGGTGTCTACATGCTAGATTTAACCCCAGAGAACTCTGGGAATCCATGCATTTCAATGGGGATGTTAGACAAATGACTGGAAACGAATGTAGCTTTTTCCACACCATTCCTTAAACAAATCTTGTGCGACGTTCTCCGTAAAATGCTTCTCATTGCACAGGTTTCCTTACTCGCGTCGCACAAGCCAAAGCATGACTCACTCTACTAACACGTCGTATCCCTTCGCTTCTTATCTCAACAAACCATCAACCCTCCTCTTCCTCCTTCCCTACAGGAAAAACAAGAACCCCAAGACCAGGCAACTCATTCCCAAGGTAAAGCTCTCGCTTGCTGAAATGATCTAACTGCATATTTAAATTAATGTTGTCTAGAGGTTTGTTTGACTTTCAAGATGCTGCTTACGGTATTGGTAGCATCAGTTTGTTATGTTTAATGTCAACATGGTCAAGATAGTTGGATTATAAGATGCAAATCAACCCTGCCTTTGCAAAAATGTTGGCATGCAAACAGAAAACCATAGCCTACTCTGCAAACTTTTTAAAAACTCAAAGATAGCTTAATTTATAATTCTTGTGTCCTGCTTAGACACTGTGCAATTGTAGGCGGTTTAAGGTTCCAGGCCAAATTTCAGCTTGGTGTGTTAATATAGAATTGCCACCATAAAAGCATGTAACCAGCGTAATTTGACAGTTATTCAGTAATATCTTGGGTAGTAGCGACATTTTAAGTGTGGCAATCCAAAAAAATAAATCACTTACAGCACCTTTAACTTGTTAAGCATTTGCAGCATAGCTGGTACATTTCCATCACCATTGATGAAAGTGTAAAGTTTAGCCACGATTGTTTATGACTTTCCGTTACATGTGCGGTGCTGGGTAAATGTTTTGAAGACTCTACCGCTGTAGCTCTGGCTGGAATGAGATTTTCCATGTCGTCATGTATCCATGGCATTCATATAAGTCTTTCTGTGTGAGAGATTGACTTTCTGTTTTTGTGTGTTTGGGCAGAACCTGTTGGACACTCGGTCACTGAAATTTGTAGTGGGCCTCCATGACCGCACCACCAAGTCTTTACTTCATCTGCACAAGAAGAAACGTCCTCCCAGCATCAGTGCCCAGTTTCAAGTAAAAAAAACTATATTAGATTAGCATGGTTGTTCGTGCCAATTTGGTGGTTCTGACTAAAAACAAATGCTCTGTTCCAGAACCTAGTGAAGGCATTGTAAGGCATCATAATCACTAAGCTGTTCCAAAAGATACATTTAATTTCATATATTTCATCAAGTATATTTCATTCAGTGCTTAAAATTTTTTATACAACTGTTCAGTCTAAATAGAAAAAGATTATTTTAGCCAATATTTGTTCAGTTTTTTTTTTTGCACGCTTAGTTACATGCTGTTAGCTTGACGACATTGCTAAAATCAAACTATTGTGGCATGTGCTCTGCATGAGAAGAGCTATTTGTGCAGCAGAATAGAAGACAGCTGCTTTTATAGGCAGTAGACTGAAAGGAATAACAGAATCTCACTAGGTTTTGGAACAGTTAAAAACTATATTTTAAGCACTAATATTTCAAATGTTAGGATCAGAGAATGCTAAGAATATTGTCCTCCAGTGGATCTAATGGGCCAAAGGCATCATTTGTGGTTTTCAACTTGTCTTCCACTCAATATTATGATCTTTCTCCATATTGCAGACGTCTCTTAGTAAGCTTCTGGAAACGCTGGGGAGGGCGGAACCATTCTTCATCCGATGCCTCCGCTCTAATGCTGAGAAGGTGCAAATGAAATGTCCTTGTTCACCCTATTCAAGTTGATCTTGATTTTAAGTTCATCAATCTTTATTTACTTTTCATGTACATTCCTGGTCTTATTTTGAATGGTTCATCTGTGCACAAAATCTTTTATATATATTTTTTTTTATATATTAATAATTTTTTTTTTTTTTGTATTTTCTCTTTGACATTCAGAAGGAAATGTGTTTTGATGAGGCGCTCATTGTCCAGCAGCTGCGGTACACGGGAATGTTGGAAACAGTGCGCATAAGACGGTCAGGCTATGGAGCCAAATACACCTTTCAGGTAACCCATATATTTGACCTAGTGATTGGAACAAACCTATAAACCTAAAAATTAAACTTGTGTATAACTTTGCTTGTCCGAAAAAACAAAACAAAGCTGGTTTTCTGAATTACAGGAGTTTACTGAGCAGTTTCGTGTGTTGCTACCAAAGAATGCTGTGTCCCTGGAGGACATATCATCTCTATTGCACAGGCTTGGCTTTCACCACACTACCTACCAGATTGGGAAAACCAAGGTCATAGGAACCCTAAAGGGTTTAATTGACAACTTTTCTAGTTTTGGAATTTTAACTTCATGTCTGGCATTGTTTCTTTTCTACAGGTGTATCTCAAAGAACTCGAAAGGCAAAAGCTTCAGGACATCCTCCACAAGGATGTTATGCGCAAAATCATTTTCTTGCAGCATTGGTTTAGAGCTAAAATAGAGAGGATGGAATTTGTTAGAATGAGAGAGGCAGCCATCTTGATCCAGGTATATCAAAATTGGTTTTGTGTTTGGGCAGTATTCTTGCAGTTGTCATGTGTTTGGCCAGTCTGCACTTGTCTGATATTTGATTGGCTTTGTCTGCAGCGCTCATGGCGTAGGTTCCGCAAAGAGAAGTTCTACCAAGCGGTGGTTTTGATCCAATCAGCATGGCGAGGTTCCAAACAGAGAGCTGAATATCAAAAAACACGAGCATCCGTCACAAAGATGCAGGCACTTGCAAGAGGGCATTCGGCTCGCAAACGGTATAGACCTCAGACAAGTCAACACGAATTTGAAATTAAATGTATTTACTTTCTTAATACACAATCTTGGCTTATCGAGCATGATTTAGTAAGTTTTGGATTTGGACTTGTTAGGTACTACTCACTAAAGGAAGAAAAGAGGAAAGAAGAGGAAGCTCGGAGAAGAAAAGCAGAGGAGGCAGAAGAGGCCGCTAGGCGAGCTAAAGAGGCTGAGGAGGCAGCCAGACAACTCCGAGAGGAAGAAGAGGCAGCCAGGCGTGTCAGAGAGGAAGAGGAAGCAGCTAGAAGACAGAAGGAGCAAGAGGAAAGGGCAGCTCGGCTTGCTTTAGAGGAGAAGACGCTACTACAACAACCACCGGCACCAGGCAAGCAGTCTGACGATGTGGAGACACTAGTGCTGGAGCGCAATAAGGCTCCTGTGGATGTTGAGATTGAAAGTAAGGGCAGGACCCAAGTTGATGTCTCAAAAGACCAAAGTCATTCTGAGAAGGTTCCTCAAGTGGAGGCTGGTCCTGACCCTGAGGTTAAAGAACACCAGAAGCAAAAGGAAAATGAATCTTCTGCACATCCCAGAGAGGAAGGTACACAAGCTAAACCCACGTCTCCTGAAATCCCAAGTGGACAAAGCCAAAACAGAGCTCCTCCACTCTCCAAGCTGCCAGTATCCAGAAGTCAAGAGAAACGGGAGCTTAGGAGACAACGGGGCCTAGAGCACAACCAGAGAGAAAGTGAGCGAGCAGCTTCAACCGGAAACGACGATACTTCCTTCAAGAGCAAAACTCTAGAGAGACCAGGGAAAGTAGACAGCAAGTTGAAGGAGCGCTCTGACAGCAAAGAGTTGGATCCGTACACCTTTGTGGCTTGGAAAATAGACAAGGTGAAGAGGGATGCCAAAGATGTCCCACCTGAACTTGTTCGACCTTCCACCTTACCTTTAGATATCCCTACTTCAGGACCTGGAAGAAACGGCTACACAGACCCGTCCATCGCCGCTCAACCTGCTCTTGCCAAAGAAGAGGCCAACAGGAAAAAAGAACCAACAAGAAGCAGCACTCAGCCAGAAAACCTCATGGCAGGACCCTGCAGTCTGGAGGACAGGAACATCAAAACTATCCAGTATGGTTTCTTATCTTCTCCTTCTTGTATATCTTTCTTCATCTCCTTATATGATTCTGACAATATCTTCTATCTGGTTTTCCCAACTTTACCAGGATTTGCGGGATCTCTATGTCACTAGACGATGTGTCCAAAATAGGTTTGGGCGGTTCATCACAGGTAATGTTGACTTGATTTAAGTAGTTAACACAATGGTAAACATGAAGGAATACATTGATTTTTGAGCCTTGAAGTTTATGTTTGACTGGTTAAAGGGGTCATATGACGTTGTTAAAAAGAACATTATTTTGTTTGTTTGGTGTAATGCAATGTTTACGCGGTTTAAGTTTCAAAAAACACATTATTTTCCACATTCTGTACGTTATTGTTGCTCCTCTATGCCCCGCCTTTCTGAAACACGTCGATTTTTTTAAAAAGCTCATTGTTCTGAAAAGCGCGGTGTGCTCTGATTGGCTGGCTATCCAGTGCGTTGTGATTGGCCGATTACCTCAAGCGTGTGACGGAAATGTTACGCCCCTTACCAGGTTCAAGAAACTTTCCACTGTTCTGGAACAGTGTTGTAAATAAAACGTAACCACGGATTTCTAGTTGTATCCTCTTTTGGAAGGCAAAACAAAGTAGTTTGGCTTTCGCAACGAAACAGCGTCTGGTGGCGGCGGCAAAAACAATACTACAGTGAGAATAAAAGTTACGCCTTCTTTCTTTGCGTATACATTTGGGCGGCGTTATGCAAATCTTCCCACACAGTGACGTAGACATGTGGGGGCGTGTTTAAACGAGCCGTTTTAGGAAGGCGTGGCTGAGCCTTTTATAAAGAATATCTCTTTGGGTTTGAGACTTTAATCTTTGCGACTTTACGGATCTTCTGTATGCACGAACAGCTCTTAACACTACAAAGACAAAGGAAAACATGAAAGCGCATCATATGACCCCTTTAAGTTCCACTGTAAGCTTCCCATTTGTATGCAACCAGACAATCTGCTGTTCTCATTACATTTGGTAAATTAGGATTATAATTTAAACAATCGCTTGAGTTGAAGTGATCATGCTTCTTTGGCTGATTCAGGGCAAAGCTCGTCAAAGATGCAGGCCACGGCTCGCCCTTGCACGTATATGTTTGCCCATTAAAAGTGTTGAAATGGAGGATGCAGAGTACTGGACTTATCCTTTGCCCCCCACGAGTCCATTAGAGGTGGTATATTACAGCCTGAAATTAGATGCTGTCCTGGGATCTGTGGTGTGGGGGCTGCTGGTGGATTAACCGCTTGGAATCCTGGTGGATTAACTTGTGCTAAGGAAAAATAAATTATACTGGTGCAGAGTGAAGGCCTTTAGTCTGTTTGTTATCCAGTATGCACAGTTTTCAGACACTTTTGCAAAATTTCATATACTGTGCGGTACTGACCTATTGTCATGCCAACACAGTACAGTAGAGCTTGATCTGATTGGCTAAAACTTCCTTCACTGTGAATTCTGAAAGCTCAATGGCCTTTAAAACTGGACTTACGGGATAACAAACTGAAATCTGAAAATGCAATGTTAGACCATTTCAGACTCTGGTTTATTTCTTTCCAACCATTCTTGACTCTTTTTCCAAGTAAATAATCATCGTACTTTTTAATTACTCCGTTTGGGATAAATAAAGTGAAGCATTTACCCACTTCAGCTTCCTTTAAGGTGTTATCTACACAGGAAGAAGGAACTTTCTCCTTGACAGTGTGACAGGCTACTCATTATGCCATTATCTAATCAGCAGAAACGGTTATGTTACTGTACACTATACTGTGCTGCATAAAACTAAGACATTTGCTGTGCTCATAAATTTTTGTGTAGACACAGTCCAGCACTGAGGTTGGTCCTGAAAGAGCGAAGGTCAGCACATTGAAGGAAAAAGTTCATGACAGCCACAGCCTGCAAGATGTATCACCTGTCCAGCCGTCGACCCCAGAGAGGTACAGTCCCACCTTCCAGTATTACCAGTTTAGCTACCTTCTGGTGTTGTCAAACCGTTGCTTAGCCAAGACAGAACAGATTGTAGAAGAGAGCAGTTTATTCTAAGATCCTCTAGTCTACAGCATCCCTTGAGAATGTTATGTTAAATGCATTGTCTTATGACTTGCATTTTGACCCATTTCTCAATGCAACAATATGTGAAATTGAGCATGGCTACAAATTTACTTTCACATATTTGCGCAGACTGTTTCATGCCTTTGCTTTATCTGCAAGACTGTCTTTCTCAAAAGTAAAGAGCTTTTTGACTCATGCAAAAAATGCACAGTCTTATCTGTATTAGAATGTGGTCACACAGGAAATCTGACTCACTGGTACTCGTGGGAAAATACGGCCCCTGGCTTACCTCAGCAGTGCCGACTCATACGTCTGACTCCTGGCATAGGTTACAGACTCCCTTATATAGATGCAAAGTGTGCGATCTAAATGTTTTGATAGTGAAATCCTTTGCCTAATGGGACCTCCCAGCATGCTGTTAGGATATTATTAATAATAAAATGCAAAACTTGCTACAACTAACTTTATGCAATGGTGCATTTTTGTTCAACAGGACAACAAGGTTTTTCAGAAAGATTCTGAAGAAGCGTCCCCATAAAGAAGCTCAGACCCCGGAAGATGGAGACCTGAGCCTAGCTTCCTTTTTGGATCAAAAAGAAGGTACATTCTGCAAAGACAGCATCCGATTCTTTTAGATCGTCATACTTTTCCTCCATTTATTGTTTTTTTTGTGTTTTTTGATAGCAACTTCTCCATCACGCTCGCACAATTCAAAGCCTCATGCGAGTCGACCCGTTCGGACGGCCAGCATCATGATCAGTCACTCAACAACTCGGGCCTCTGAGCAGTGCAACTCGCTGAACCGTGTGATCACCAATGCGAATGAGCTACGCCACCTTGACGAATTCCTGGGCAATCAGGTCTAAAGAATAGATAGGACTGCAAGATGTTTAACTTTTTTGAGTTGATTGTGTGGTTATGCATAGTTGCAGTGAATGATTGAAGAGTGTTAAGTCGTGTTTATAATGTATACAATTTCTGACAAGCTTTGCATTCTCTCAGACTTCTTTCTCTTGTGTGGTGTAGGTGAATGATCTGCGCTCAAGGGGAAAGCAGCTTTCAGGAACAGAACACATCTTCATTACTGCCACTATGCAGTTCAGAGAAAACATCAAGGGGATGTACTCATTCTCTGTGAGTAGAGCTAATACAACACTCCCTAAAACTACAACCCAAACACTACAGTATAGACCAACTATGCCATGTCCTATCTGTGATGCCATGACACGAATTTGTTGGTTTGCTAGGTCAAGATGTATTATGGGCATTAAAAGAAACTTGTAGTTCATGTTATTCATTTCTTCTTCTTCACCAACAGAACCCACAAATTGGGTATAAGGCTTTGATGAAGAGCTACCACAATAAAGTGATCAGTCTAGCTGGAGAAAAGCAGAAAGGTGAGGTACCACTGGTGGTCAATCTCTTCCAGTCAGTTCTGGACGGTTTCATTAGAGCGGAGATCAAAAAAGAAGAGGCCGAACCAGCCAAGGTGAAAGTTCATGCATGGCCTGTTACCCTCTAGACTTTCATTATCTGATTTAAATGGTAGTTGTTATTTATCATTTGAATGCTTGTTATCCTTTTGACTTACCTTGGAAAAACTCTGTCTCAGCCCCCCAAAGGTCGTAAGATGAGAAGGAAGGATAAGGGCGTAAGTATCCTTTCATATTGACTCTGCTTTGTGAATTGTGAAGAAATCTAAGCATTTTGTCTGAATTTAGTTGGAGAATCCATTGGACCATGTGTTTACGCACTACCAAGTCAACATCATGCAGTCTTGTGATCAGTGCACCTCCTACATCTGGGGTATGGAGAAGGCCTACATGTGCAGTTGTGAGTATCTCTGATACGTGCCCTATGGATTTGACTTAATTCAGGCTGAGAACATTGTATGATAAGTCATTTCTGTTTCAGATTGCAAAATGGTTTGCCATAAGAAGTGCATTTGTAAAATCGTCATAGACTGCTCTACTTTCTGCTCTAAGAAGGTAAGAATCCAATCTTCTAAGCATTTTGGAGAAGCAGTCATTTCGAAATCTTGTCCAATTGGTCGACCTTTGTGTGCTGTGGGTCTAGTGTGATGATGAGCCAGGATCACAACACTTTGGTGTTCGTGTGTGCCACCTGGTCAACAACAAGACCCCTGTGCCAATTGTTCTGGAGATAATGCTGGAACACGTGGAAATGAATGGCCTGTACACAGAGGGCATTTACAGGAAGTCCGGCTCAGCCAATCGCATGAAGGAGCTACACCAGCTGTTGGAAGCAGGTGAGCTATCATGGATATTACCAGAACTCAATGGCACATTGGGAAGACGACCTCTCTGTAGTCTTACAGAGTCATATTTGGGACTTTTTTGTAGCTTATCCTGCCCACTCTGATAACTCTGTTAAATAACCCTGTTTAATGACTGCATGTTTGTTTAGGCCCAGAGAATGTTTGTCTTGAGGATTACCCCATCCATGCCGTCACTGGCCTGGTCAAACAGTGGCTAAGGGAGTTGCCTGAACCTCTCATGACCTTCACGCACTACAACGACTTCCTCCGTGCAATAGGTTGGTCCCCACAACACCCTTCTGCTGTCCTTTTGGTAGCCCTTAGACATGCTGTAACTCTTTTGTTGTCTTTCATAGAACTGCCTGAGAAGCAAGAGCAATTGCAAGCCATTTACAAAGTTTTGGAACAGCTTCCAGCGGCCAACTTCAACACCTTGGAGAGACTCGTTTTCCATCTTGTCCGGTACAGATGAGTACATGCAGTCCGTAACAAATGCTGTTAGTGCAAAACCATGTAGCCGTCAAGTTAACCATCTGGTGTCATTTCAGGGTTGCAAAGGAGGAGAAGAGCAATCGGATGACGCCAAACTCTCTGGCCATTGTTTTTGCCCCCTGCATTCTCCGTTGTCCGGACAGCGCCGACCCGCTCATGAGCATGAAAGACATCGCCAAAACCACCATGTAAGGGCTTCATATCCACACTGCAAGTTGTGAGTGTTGTTAAGAACAATGTGTTGTTTTAAAGTGAATGAAGTCTCAAGACTGAAACTTTACTTTGCTCAGTTGTGTGGAGATGCTACTTAACGAACAAATCCGGAGATACAATGAGAGAATGGAGGAGATCGAGCAGCTGGAATACGCTGAGGCACTGGCTGTCAGTCAACTCAAGCTAAAAAGACAAAACACGGTACACTCAACCTACCTTGACCTACCTGTCCTTTAGCAGAAAGTCTTCTAGCATTGCCGTATCATTATTTGAAAGTGGTTTGTTTCCAGATGCCTGTGAAAAATGTCCATATTTTGCCCCCTGAACAATCAACAGTCCGCAACTTTCCACAAGGCACCTACAGAGAGTAATTTTCGCTACACTTTTTTTGCTTCTCGTTTTTATGTCTCTGTAGTGCTGGCATTTACCTCTCAGATTTATCACTCCTTACAAAGAAGTGGCGGTACGTATGTCCCTGTGGTATTGTGAACCCCAGTAGTTTGGCATGTTCATGCATGCAGTGTACAAGTCATGCCTTACTAATACTAACTCAAACCAGTGCATGTGTTAGTGTTATTTTAGATCTGTAGACATTTAGACCTGTAGACAAGGGTGTCGGGTGGATGTCGGTGTAGATGTGTGCTGGTTTTGGGTGGTCATTGCAGTGAATGGCATGAATTTCAAAGCTACGCAAAGTAAATGGCTGAATATTGAACAATAGGGGCATTCTGTGATGTTTTTTTGTTTGTATGAACACAGACTATAATGCAGAAAGATAAGCAGTCAGGTTTGACTGTTAACCTTTGTATTTGATTTCTACAAACCTTTGAAACTCATGCCATGGCAACTTACAGACTTTAATTGTGTTTAGTTCCGCAATGAAATATAACATCCATCCAAGTGGTTGAAATTCTTTCCCAGTAGACCTTTTCTCTTCCTCCAGACTTGACTCACCTTTGAAACATCTCTAGCACTCCTCAGTTTCACTCCACAAGGGATCGTTGTGCCACACTTGAAGAATTACAACTTCCCCCTTTTTACTTCATAGACTAACCACACGGGGGCAGACTTGAGTCCAATGAAAATGTTCAGTACTGTAGTCCCTTCACTGAAGAACCTCCTGTCTTTCTGTGCTTCCTTTTTTGTGGCAACACGGGAAAAAGCTTGGATCTCTCGATCTCCTCTTGAGTTGAAGTTTGTATCTGTTTGGACTCTAGGTTCGGGAGAAGCCAGCTTCCGACCTTTGTGCTGTACCTGAGAATGAGCCCCTGGATTCAGATACAGAAGCTGAGCGAAGCCTGATGGAGCGGATCGAGTCCATCAAGCAAGAAAAGTATGTAAATGTAGAAGAAATCTCACAAGTAGTCTTGCATGACTCTTGAACGCCTTTTTCTGGTTTATGTTCCAGAGAGGACCTTGCCTGCAGGCTACCTGAACTAGAACAGCCCGGTTCTGACCAGGAGAACCTGGACTCGGAGGCATCTGTCAGCTCTGAGAGCCTTTTGGACGAGCGAGCGGTCTGTTCAGACACGGAAGGTCAGTATTAAGGTACGGACTCCCTTTGTTTTGGACCAGTCCTTTGTTTTTCCTCTGCAGTAGTCACCCATGTGTGGGTCCTGTCCTTGTTGTGTGTGGTGCAGGTCTGGACGGGATGCTCCTGGCGCATTTAAAGAGGGTGGCGGTGCCATCCGCTCTGTAGCAGGTTGTGATCTCATCTAACCCAAGTGTTTGTTATGTGCATGTTTGTGGTGATGGAATAAGACACTGCATGTTGCCTTTCTTTTACGACTGTTGGTGGCATGTCTTGGGTTCTGCTTTGGGCTTTCTTCTGCTTCGGGGGTTGATTGGTTCTGTTTCCCTATTGTAGGACACTCAATCGTAGTGCCAAGATTATCCAAACCAGCTTGCCTTCCTAAGTCTGTCGCCCTGGCCCAAGGAGGCAGCACATGGGCTGACGGCTGCTCTCTTCCTTCACTGTCTTCTCCCAGGCTTCAACTCCAGCGTCGCTACCCTATCATCCCCAAAACGGTCAAGTTGCCGCCAGGAGTCCTGTGCCATCCGGCTGTACAGTCCCTCCCTCCCCGCAAAGCCCAGTCCCTCACCCTCGTCCAGCGGCGCGAGCAACCCGGCCGCCGCAAAGACAGCATCCAGTCTCTCTACATCACCGCTGGAACAGAGCTCCTCTTCCCGTCCTCACCTACAGCCTCAGACACCTCCAGCGCACAGGAGCTCCAGACCTCCTCACGACGTTTCTCAGACCCGGACATTGCTTTCGTAAAGGACGAGGTTTGAGTTGCAAAGCTGCCTGCTCTCGAAAGAACAATTCGATTGCTTGTCGTCATTGGCGCTGACTGCTTGCCCCGGTCATAGTGACTGATAAAGAGAATGGTCTCACCTAGCACTTTTCCATACTAATAATATATTGGATTTTTAGAGACTTTTTTTAAGACTCAGATTTGTGTGGCATTTAGGCGTTGACATGCGTCAATGCTTGATGCTTGATTTTTTTTCTTTAGCATCAAGAAAACAGTCTTGCACCTTTGTGTCTTTAACGAAGAGGAAAAAACTAATTCAACCATGAGGAGTGATCCCTCGGTGGTGTTTTGTGGACAGAGTTATTTGTACACCCAAGGCTTCATTCATCTTAAATGGACTTTAAAGCTGTAGATCCTCCTTCAATTCCTGCACAAGAACTCAATGGACAAGTTTTGACTAGAGGGGGGAAGGATGCAGCACTAGCCACTTTCCTCTTGGACCAGAATGCCATAACCGAATGCAATTTTCCAGAATAACTCTGAACATTTTTTTTTTCTTCATTTTGATAAACAATATGACACTTTGGATCTGTGTGGATGTCTATTCAGAATAGCTTTGTGTAGGACTAAATACAGTTAGTGGCCAAGCCATTGTGTTTAATACTAAAGTGAAGAGTTACGAATGCTGTTAAATGAAAAGTATGGAAAGAATGCCGGCTGGATGTCTATGATGTAAATTACGTTTTGCATCACAAGGACTGTATGTGCCTACTAGTATCGCTGTTTTTGAGTCCTCAGTGATGTTTTTTGCATTTAATGGAGAAATGAAACGAATTATTTTCCTACAATACAGTTTGTACTGGCCGCAAACCTGTGTGCTTTTCCTGATTCTTACCCATAATTCTTTGTGGCTTCCTTTTTGCTCCGGAGGTACCACCGACCATCTACTCTTGCTCTTCTTGTTCTACAATAAGAACGTCCAGAAAGGCCTGTTCAAATAAAATGCAGAATGAATCCAGATAAAGGAATTAGGAGGTGCAGAGTCCTTCCCAGCCTTGTTCCTGTACCATGGCCTCTTATTTGATCTGCTGTGTATTTGATTTATAGTCGTTCTGTGGGGAAAAAATTAGAAGTAAATGCACATAAAACTATTAGTTAATATGCAGTGACCAAAATATGTGCATTTTCTGGCATGCAAAAATATAACGCTGTAGAACATGTTGGACTATTTAGAACTACTGTGATGATTACAAGCACACAGAAACTCAAAATGTATAATATTAGGAGTTATTACACACCTTTTGACCACCAGTTGTGTACTGTGATCAATTCCCAGAGCTGGGACAAAACAGAGGTACGTTCCTCCATCAGAGAGCTGAAGATCGGTGAGTTTGAGCTGCTTCGGGGGTTGATTGGTTCTGTTTCCCTATTGTAGGACAAACAATCGTAGTGCCAAGATTATCCAAACCAGCTTGCCTTCCTAAGTCTGTCACCCTGGCCCAAGGAGGCAGCACATGGGCTGACGGCCCCTCTCTTCCTTCACTGTCTTCTCCCAGGCTTCAGCTCCAGCGTCGCCACCCTATCATCCCCAAAACGGTCAAGCTGCCCCCAGGAGTCTTGTGCCACCCGGCTGTACAGTCCCTCCCTCCCCGCAAAGCCCAGTCCCTCACCCTCGTCCAGCGGCGCGAGCAACCCGGCCGCCGCAAAGACAGCATCCAGTCTCTCTACATCACCGCTGGAACAGAGCTCCTCTTCCCGTCCTCACCTACAGCCTCAGACACCTCCAGCGCACAGGAGCTCCAGACCTCCTCACGACGTTTCTCAGACCCGGACATTGCTTTCGTAAAGGACGAGGTTTGAGTTGCAAAGCTGCCTGCTCTCGAAAGAACAATTCGATTGCTTGTCGTCATTGGCGCTGACTGCTTGCCCCGGTCATAGTGACTGATAAAGAGAATGGTCTCACCTAGCACTTTTCCATACTAATAATATATTGGATTTTTAGAGACTTTTTTTAAGACTCAGATTTGTGTGGCATTTAGGCGTTGACATGCGTCAATGCTTGATGCTTGATTTTTTTTCTTTAGCATCAAGAAAACAGTCTTGCACCTTTGTGTCTTTAACGAAGAGGAAAAAACTAATTCAACCATGAGGAGTGATCCCTCGGTGGTGTTTTGTGGACAGAGTTATTTGTACACCCAAGGCTTCATTCATCTTAAATGGACTTTAAAGCTGTAGATCCTCCTTCAATTCCTGCACAAGAACTCAATGGACAAGTTTTGACTAGAGGGGGGAAGGATGCAGCACTAGCCACTTTCCTCTTGGACCAGAATGCCATAACCGAATGCAATTTTCCAGAATAACTCTGAACATTTTTTTTTTCTTCATTTTGATAAACAATATGACACTTTGGATCTGTGTGGATGTCTATTCAGAATAGCTTTGTGTAGGACTAAATACAGTTAGTGGCCAAGCCATTGTGTTTAATACTAAAGTGAAGAGTTACGAATGCTGTTAAATGAAAAGTATGGAAAGAATGCCGGCTGGATGTCTATGATGTAAATTACGTTTTGCATCACAAGGACTGTATGTGCCTACTAGTATCGCTGTTTTTGAGTCCTCAGTGATGTTTTTTGCATTTAATGGAGAAATGAAACGAATTATTTTCCTACAATACAGTTTGTACTGGCCGCAAACCTGTGTGCTTTTCCTGATTCTTACCCATAATTCTTTGTGGCTTCCTTTTTGCTCCGGAGGTACCACCGACCATCTACTCTTGCTCTTCTTGTTCTACAATAAGAACGTCCAGAAAGGCCTGTTCAAATAAAATGCAGAATGAATCCAGATAAAGGAATTAGGAGGTGCAGAGTCCTTCCCAGCCTTGTTCCTGTACCATGGCCTCTTATTTGATCTGCTGTGTATTTGATTTATAGTCGTTCTGTGGGGAAAAAATTAGAAGTAAATGCACATAAAACTATTAGTTAATATGCAGTGACCAAAATATGTGCATTTTCTGGCATGCAAAAATATAACGCTGTAGAACATGTTGGACTATTTAGAACTACTGTGATGATTACAAGCACACAGAAACTCAAAATGTATAATATTAGGAGTTATTACACACCTTTTGACCACCAGTTGTGTACTGTGATCAATTCCCAGAGCTGGGACAAAACAGAGGTACGTTCCTCCATCAGAGAGCTGAAGATCGGTGAGTTTGAGAAAGACACGGCCCCTCTTAAGCTCCTCAGGTAAAACTTCTGCTCTGTTCTTGTACGCTGGGTCCTGTTCCTTTATAGAAACTTTTCCGTGGATAATATCATAAACATTCCTGGTGTCGCTGTGTCTCCAGTGGACTGTCAGATGTTTTTCTTCAAGTTCAATACGTCTGTGACTGCACTTCAAGATGACAGAGTAACTTTAATTATTGACTATTACAGTGAGGTCCAAAAGTTTCAGACAGCATTGAAAATCAGATTTGTTGTTAATGTCAAATCTAAGAAAATGAGTGCTGTTGATTGTGTGACTCTTTGTACAGAGTCAGAAAGTCATTGAAGATGCTCAGTTTCATGTGTCTATTTAAACTTGAACTAAAACTGTTTAGCTGATAGTTTTCAATGAAAAATGTAAAAAAGCATAAATTACAATGTAAAATAATTTTCACTAGTGATCTCAAACCTTTGGACAGTCTTTGCTCTGTTCTTACCTGAACCTGTTAACAGTACGAACACATAAATGAAACAGCATCTGTAAACCATGAAGAAAAATTATGCTGGGAGACAAAAACAACAACAAAATGTAATACTATCCTGTCAGCATGCAACAAATTTTCAGCTTACTTTCAAATCCATCACATAGTCACTGTTGTCAACTAATTTTTTAAGGGAAGTTGCTAAAAGTTGCTAAATGACATTGTGCCATTACATAACCATGAAGCAAAACTGTGTCATTGCATACACAAATAGACTACTCAAATTGACTGGCCATCTCTTGTTTTCTCAAAGTTTATAAAAAAATAAAATAAAAGACTGGACATCTCATCAAAAATATGATTTGAAATAGCCTGTTAATTTAGATTTGTAAAATTAATATAAACGCCACATTTTTATGATTTGATATTTTTCTTTTTAAATACAACATTGAATTATTGAACAGTTACACATTTTTGAACAATTACATTTTAATTTCTAACTGATCAACAATTGTAGGTTAAGTGTATAACAGGGTTTGTACAAACTAACGTGAGATAGTTGTAACACACGTGGTTTAAATATTTCCACACATCCTAGCATAACAAAATTTATGGTATCTACTAGTTGCCATATCAACACCATATATAGAAACATTTCAAAAAAATATTTTGAAGATAGCCTATCGCTGAACTGATATTTTTCTTTTTAAATACAACATTGAATTATTGAACAGTTACACATTTTTGAACAATTACATTTTAATTTCTAACTGATCAACAATTGTAGGTTAAGTGTATAACAGGGTTTGTACAAACTAACGTGAGATAGTTGTAACACACGTGGTTTAAATATTTCCACACATCCTAGCATAACAAAATTTATGGTATCTACTAGTTGCCATATCAACACCATATATAGAAACATTTCAAAAATCTTTTGAAGATAGCCTATCGCTGAACATTTATTTTACCATAGTAAAAGTACATTTGTGGCTGAAGTAATTGTTTCATCTCAGTTTTTTAGTGTTAATTTAAAATACTAGGTACCTAATTTAAAATGCTGCTAGACACTAGCTTATGGTATCTACTAGTTGCCATATCAACACCATATATAGAAACATTTCAAAAAAATATTTTGAAGATAGCCTATCGCTGAACATTTATTTTACCATAGTAAAAGTACATTTCTGGCTAAAGTAATTGTTTCATCTCAGTTTTTTAGTGTTAATTTAAAATACTAGGTACCTAATTGAAAATGCTGCTAGACACTAGCTGATCAAATGCTTTAACATTACGCTTTGTGGAGCCTTGTATGTGCCACGTGCCATCTCCTTGTACAGCCTAAAGTAATAAATAATCAAATCTGACAACTCTAGTTTAATCTAATGAACGACCCTGGACGTGAAACTTTATTTGCACGACTTGTTTTCTATGTGTCCTGTTTTTTTTAGGTTATTGGCGGATTTCTATTGCAAAGAAGACATATAAATCACCACGTTGCGATTTAACTTCACACGTGAACAATGACACAAACCCCAAAATCCTTGCAAATCTCACGAGTACATTGTAAACTGAATATTAACAATGAGAGACCGTAATATATTACACTCAACAACGTGCAGTCTAATTGAGAAAGTATTACCGTCGGTACATGTTGTAGTCTGTATGGGAGGCTTACAGTCAGATTCAACGAGAGCGTCTCAGTTTGGAAGCACGTGTGAAATTCAAATGAAGGCGGCGTTTCAAAGTGAAATCTTAGCCTATCAGACAAAAAGCGAATATTGTTTATTTTAATAATAATAATAAAAATTGAATAATTGTTCATTTATGATACACCTTGTTAGTAGCTTGTACTTTTTGTTGATCAGATTGTTGATCAGTTGATCAAGGTTATAAACACATCTAAATTAACATATTTACTTTTTTTTTTTTGCTGAGATTTGATGCAGTGACACAATTTTGCATCGTGATTACGCAATGACGTCACCGCGCAATGACATCGCGCCATTTAGCAACTTTTAGCAACAAATCAACCTTCCTTTAGCAACTTCCCCTGAAAATTAGTTGGCAACACTGTGTGCACCTCATCTCAGGCTGAGTCTACAAATAAAAGCGAACTTCATCAACTAAATAACATGCGTCGTAAAACACCGAATCAGATTTATAATTAACATTTTTTGCATTAAATAACTTCTCAGAATGTGACACTGTAATTGCAATGTACCCCACCTACGGGGCATGTTGTCACATTTCACTTCCATTTTGTGAGGGTAAATAAAGAAAAACGTATACACTGTAATTATGAAACAAAGTGACATATTTGTACTAGACACGTGTAAAATTACTGTGGATAAAAAAAATTATATTCTGAACCCCATGTGGATTTACACAAACTGAGAAAGTCAAAAAAAGTGTTACTTTGTGCCCCGCTCTCCCTTATATAATACAGTATTAATAATGCAAGACTGGTCTGTTACATCATGCAGTTTGAATTGCTCTGCAAAGTGAAAGTCTTGCTTGTTTCACCTCCTCTCGTAGGAGCGATAAAGCTACTGCTACATGTAAGGTACACATCAACTAAATAACATGAAACCTAATATACACTGACATTACAACTAAATAACTTTGCTCTTCTCGTAGAAGTTTCTGATGTTAGAAATGCCCAGACGACAATGCGTTTACGTCGAGTTGAAAGAAGCGGATCCATTTCTTCACACAGCATGTGAAAATTTATGTTAAGAGGATTGGTAATATTAATTTTACTCATTATTTTCATTATTCATTTTTTTAGTGATATCAGTGCATGATTTGTAACGTTCAAATCACTTTCAAAGGACAATTCAATTCTACTGCAGTTCGTTACATAATCTACAAACCACCAGCATGCATTTCATAAAAAAAATGTGTGATCTTTTGAACATATGAAGAACCAAACATATATTTTTGAATTAAAAAATATTTTGTATTTATTTACAAATGTGTACTATGTATATAAAATATAAAATGTAGTTGTACAAATACAGCTATATATATATATAACCCCCCAAAATTATTCCAAAATAGTGTTATCAGAAAAACTTGACTCTATATGCTAAATAAATAATGAAAAGCGTAACTACTTTGTTTCCCTACTGAGGTTCCTTGAGAAATCAGGAAAATCAAAATGCAAAGGGGAAAAATATGCAGAAAATGTTAAATATATATATATATATCATTAGAGTGTTTTTTGTCATTCGGGATGTTAGATGGTTGAAAAAAGTATAAAAAATGTTGTGGTGGAATTGAAATGTGGATGCTATTCCAGTCTTCATATACGGTAAGGTCATCGGTTGTAATCATGGGCAGGTTTGTCTCCTCTGGAGGCTTTGGGTCCGCTCTCGTCTCATTAGATTCTGTAAGAAAAGAAGCATAGAAGGTAAAAATAGAGAAAGTGTTTTAATGTTCCCATCAATCTAAAAATTAAATTAGTTTCCCGGTACAGTGATAACTATTCACAATGAATTATGACACGATGACAAACTATTCCTGACTGTATTCCTTTCTTTAATTATCTGTCTTCATTAACAGTTTTCATCTTAGTAAAGCAAATATTATTTAAATGACTTGACCTACTCACGTGAGCAACAAAACTGAATGTATGCACGACCATCTCTCCTTTTCTGATGATCTGTAGATTATAATGTCCGTAGTGTTCAGGTGTGATGCTTGAGATGGTGAGAGATCCGGTAATGTGGTCCAGTTTCAACTTGTCTTTGAATATTTCTTCATTACATAGGTATTCCTCATCGTTGGCTTTATTCAGTCTAGCTATGATTACAAATTTAGCACAATTGTGTTCTTTGGAATCAACAAACTTCCACCATATTATGTCAGTTTCCTGTGTTTCAGTCAGATCCGTGTGTAGCTTGACAGATTGTCCTTCAATCATTGGCACCAAGGTGACTATGTCTACTTTAAGAAACACACCTGGAGAACAAACAGAAACGGACAAATGTCACCGAGGAGGCGCTGTGCTGTACAACATGAGTCAACATGCCTGAAGTCTCCTCATCTCTCTCTGTCTATAGGGCTGTCAGTTGTCAGTAAAGCTCATCATCCTTGGCTTGAGACCTGGATTTGCCCAGAAGACACAGCAACACCCTCTTTCTCCCACAACTCCCGCCAAACAAGTTTGATTATTTGTGATACCTAATACATCACTCTAACTTTCTACTCTCATGTTGTAGTTTTGGGTTAGTTTGTCGTCACAGACTTCGAAGCAATTTTAGCCTTGCTTGACTCGTTCGAAACATCTCACCATCACCTCATTTACTCATGTTTTCACACACTGGTGATCATTTCAGCTTTATTCTGAATTTAAGGTTCCTCTATAGATCGTAGTCAGGTAGCACCATATTTATCTTACTCCGTTTACTTTATTCTCTCATATAGAACGACCTTGCTATCTGCCGACGAAGCCCTGTTTATCCATCTTGATGCAGCCTTCAGCACTATCAAACTGAACCTCGCAGATGGATCTCTCCAGGTATCTTCACTAGCAATTTGATAGCTGTGCAGTGCAGCATTTCACCAAGTCACTCCCTACTTGGGATGAACTGTTTAGGTTGCTTTGGATAAAAGTGTCAGCAAAATGAATGAATGTAGCTCTAAATGTTCAAACCATCTGTTTGATTTCTGAAAGGAACAGCGAAACGACTCAGTAACTTACTATTTGGCAAATCTCCTTTCTGAATAGACATGTCCCTGTCTGCAGAAGACAAACACACGAGTCTGATGCTCAAACACAGACACACAGAGATTTAGTATGCACAGTTATGGTATATCTGTTATGGATAATACTCAAAAAAACAGTGGCATTTATTCTAAAGTGTGAACGGTTTTGGAGTTTCACGTGTTTCCTACAACCCACGCTGTGTCTCAGTCACACCTTTCACCTGAAGACAATCTATAACCAGCTCCTCCTGTTATCTGTTCAGCCTCACCTGATGGTTCATGCCCAGCTAACAGGGAACATTCTCAGAACTTTATGTTCTGGCAAGTTCCTCTCCAAGTGTTCTTCCAGTAACAATAATAGAATCTTCATTCAAAGTTATCTGGTCTTTAATAACATTATTTATGCATTATTCATGGAACGTTTTTCTGAAACATTTTATTTATTAGTTATTTATCATTTGTCTTGACACTTTATTTAACATTTCAAACATTTAGAGAACATTTAAAAGTTACATTTGCCTAACGCTTGCAAAATTATAAAATGTAACGTTTTCTGTAACATTCTAATAATTAAGAACATTTTTTTTTTTTTTTAAGATTTAAAAGAAAATACATTTTAAACACTCAAAATGGTTCAGAGAACATTCAAAAGTAACATTTCCTTAATGTTTGCTAAATTATCAAATGTAATGTTCCCTTAATGTTTTCCCTAACATTCTCATAACCAAGAAAAAAAAATGCTTTTTAAAGGTCCCATATTTTACACCTTTCTGGAGTTTTATTTTAGGTTTTGATGTCCTTAAGAATATATATATTTGCGGTATAAGTACCAAAAACCATCTCAATATATTTTTACAGCTCTTTTCTCAGGAGCTCTTCTGAGAATTGTCTGGGGGTTTGGCAAAAGGAGAGTGGGACGGTGAGCAGTGCTCGGGGTGGTGACTAAAGGCGGTGACTGTGTAGTTCTGACGTCAACTTTTTACGGAAGTCACATCGGTTTGTGAAAAATCACAGCTACTTTATGCAGGCTGTGTGCATTTTACTGTGGACTGACAGTTTTGAAACTTATATGGAAGTTACATAGCACCTAGACCTCAATTATCGTGAAAAAAGCCAGGAAATTTGTCAGTTTTGACAATATGGGACCTTTAAACATAAAAAAAATGGACGTTTTAAATGTTCAGAGAACATTCACAAATAAACTTCAGAATGTTTCAGAAAACATTCAAAAGTTACATTTGCATAATGTTTGCTACTGACGTCAACTTTTTACGGAAGTCACATCGGTTTGTGAAAAATCACAGCTACTTTATGCAGGCTGTGTGCATTTTACTGTGGACTGACAGTTTTGAAACTTATATGGAAGTTACATAGCACCTAGACCTCAATTATCGTGAAAAAAGCCAGGAAATTTCAGTTTTGACAATATGGGACCTTTAAACATAAAAAAATTGGACGTTTTAAATGTTCAGAGAACATTCACAAATAAACTTCAGAATGTTTCAGAAAACATTCAAAAGTTACATTTGCATAATGTTTGCTAAATTTTAAAATGGAATGTTATCTTAAAGGGATAGTTCACTCAAAAATGAATTTGCTGGTTGCCACTGACTTCCATAGTATTTTTTTTCCCATTCTATGGAAGACAATGGCTACTGGCAACTGTTTGGTTACCTACATTCTTCAAAATATTGTATTTTGTGTTCAACAGAATAAAGAAATGCATACAGGTTTGGAACAACATGAGGATGAGTAAATATGACAGAATTTTTATTTTGGGCTGAACTATCCCTTTAATGTTCTCCTAACAAGGAAAAAAAAAGTTTTTAAATTATTTTAAAAAATGGAAGTTTTAAACATTCATAGAACATTAAAAAAAGGTTTTCATAACTTAATGTGGACGTTTTTGGCAGATTTTGCCCCACCAGTTTTGATTTTATGCTGTTTCTGAGCTAATCAGCTTCAAAACAACATGCTTAATATGCTGAACAAAGACATTAACTTGACAATAATCAGAAATATTAACAACATATTACCACACAATATCTTACCGTTTAGCTCCATAGCTAGCAAAGGAACTGCACCTGTTTTAAACAAAATCACAGACTTCATTAAAGAACACCATTTTATCTGTCTAGTAAGGTACACACATTTGTCTTCTGAAAACAAACACAGATAACAATCTCTATGAATGTGGATTTAGACAAACACAAACACAGAGAGATTCAGTAATAAAGTATCTTACCATTGTTGGGCTGAACTACTCCTTAACAATCATCACATGACTTAAATTTAATTTTGTCATCTATAACTATAATATGATTACTTTATGTTAATCATAAAGTAAATATGATATGATAATATGATTTATGAAAGTAAATCATAATCATTACAAAAAAGTACTTTTTTGTAATGATGTTTGAGAATAAAGCCACATCAAACACATAAACTCAAGAGTAAGTACACATACGTTAAATTGTACCTTACCTTTATTTAGCTTAATAAGCGCTCCATCAGGTTGGTCTGTATAAACAATGACTTAGTATAAACAAACTGATAACTTCTTGCACAACTATATCTTGTAAAATTTGCTGTAGGTAACACATACTACCTTCGACTGCTTGTTTAGGCGTCTTGCGCTGACAGTAATAGTAAATACCACACAAAACTGCAGCCACAGCCAAAGCACAAACACAAACCAGTGCTATATGAGCTGCGGACAAACCTGGTGCTATAAAGGAAAGAGAGAGACCATATCAATGTAGTATTAAAGTGCTTAAACGTGACCAACCGACATCAGCTCTATGAAAATTTGTTAATAGCTGCCGTACCTGAACATGTGTGACAGAGTTGAGTGATGTCCAGATGTTGAGTCTGGTTGCTGATGGGATTGTTGAGCACACAGCTGTAGGTGTTTTTATCCTGATATTCCACCTCCAGAGGTAGAGAGAGACTGATGCTGAGATCAGACACACTGATGCTGGACAATAAACTGTTTCCTTTGTACCAGGAGAGAGTCACATGACTCACATTCAACACTGAACACACCAATGTACATGATGATGATGATGATGAAGAAGAACAGTCTCTGCTGATGACAGGAACGGGCAGACGAGCTGGAAAGCACGAGAGAATAAGGTCTATATTGGATCCATACTGCAATGCAATGCAATGAAATCAAACCGAATGCATCTAGAAAACGACTCACCAGATACAATAATGCTGAATTTTTTGGGTGTGACTTCTTTTCCTTCAACGATCTGTAAAAATCCATAGAGTCCAGCGTGTTCAGGTGTGATGTCGGTGATGGTCAGAGATCCAGTTTGATGATCCACCTTCAGTCTGTCCCTGAATCTCCCGTCAAGAGCATCATCATATAATGAGATCTTATTGGCCATTCTGTTTATTTGAGCTATTCGAGTGCTGTCAGATCCAAACGTCCACAGTATCAGATCAGCTTTCTGTATTTCAGTAACATCAGTATATAAAGTGACAGAATCTCCCTCCGTCATTGACACAGACTGTATTTCATCCATTACACCAAACAAACCTGCCAAACAGAGACCGTTTTAAAGAGATTTAAGGTTAATACTGTCAGAATTTATGATGCTTTTGTCATTTCTTCTTGCAGCTTTCTTCTCTATTCAGCCTTATTGTATGGAAAAGAGCGGTGTGTGGATATCAATTCTTCACATGTTCAAGAATATTTTGTGAACACAGGAACAACAAAATGAAAGGTGGCCAGGTAAGTCACTGAATACTGAGTAATGTTAATAATGCAGTAGTGAATATTGGACAGACAATCATTTTTGGAATTTATGCTCCACAAAACGGATCTAAATATTAACTCAGAAACTGGAAATTCTATTAAAAGAGTTTAAATAATATGTATTTTACCAATATTCCATCATATTCAAATCAATTTAAAATATTTCGAAAAAAATTGTAAAGTGAATGTCTCAAACGCCATTTAAATGTACTCACCGTCCACGATTATCAGAACGAAAAATAAAACAAACGTCTCCATATTTCTGTAAAAGATCAGTAAAAGTTGTCCATTGTAGTTGTTAAACTGTTCCTTTGAATCTCGAAGCGTTCGACCAGTTTCTAAACGAGCTAAACCGCAAGTGACAGAGCCGATTGCATAATTTCACGTTCACACGTGATTTTCTCATTTTTAACCGACTTCAGATCTGTAGGTGGCGTTTATACGAGTGAAACGTTAAAAGTTCTTGACTTAAATGCTGGGAAATCTCTAAATCTGATCAAAATAAGTAAGTAAATTCATGAACTTGTCATAGAGAACCCAGCAGAGCTGCAGGCAGCGCTAACTATCAGACGCTTTGACGGTGAATACCTGGGTGTGTTAGAAAGTGTGTGAACGACACCAGTAGGTCAAAGTTCAAGCTATTATTCAAATATCATACTTACTAAGGCAATTAGTCCTAGGTTTATAGCACTTGACATAGATGCAACACAATTAATTTCATATGACAAGATGTTTTATTATTAAAAAGTTATATAAAAACGTTCATATTTTGTTGTTAATGAAGCTGAAATTGAACTTTCAGAGCAAAATCGCCGTCTCTTATTCACATGACAACTGTTTGAAACAGTGCAACCTTTAGATTGTCCACTAGAGAGCAGAAAACGTTCAAATATCACTGTTTCGTTCATTGACACAGAACAAAATATTAAAACGAACACTATAAAATGCAACAGACATGCAATGTAGCCTACATAAACCTGCATAACAAACAAGGTCAGAGTAAATGGTAACAGGTTATATCGACTGTAACATAACAAAAAGTTAGTGTAAAGTCAAAAGAAACCCTTGATTTTCACAGGTTATCAGCATGCAGCGTTCATTTCAAACACATTTTCACCAGTTTTAAAGGCTCCTAAAAGCAGAGGTTTTTATTCTAAATAAGGATCATGTAACAGTCACTACAGACAAGTGTTTTCAGTAATCTCTCAATTCATCAGTGGTTTTGCCACCTCTGGCACATTCCCTTCGTTTCCTGAGGAATCTGTAATAAATCAATCAATCAAAATCAAAACATTGGAAGATTATTGTTTGATTAATTGGACATTTCCGATCATCTAACTTGTTCAGTGTTGATGGATCTTTATTCTAAATGATCTGAGCTTCTCACCTCAAGACGATAAATGTTTTGGAGATCGTATTTTGTCCATTCCTGGAGATATTTAGTTTATGAATTACAAAGTCTGTGGATCTGATGCCACTGATTGTGAGAAACCCATTTTGTTGATCCAGCTGTACTCTGAATGTCTCATCATGACCAGTGCCATCAAAATTGTTTGGTTCATTCAGTTTGGCGATGACAGTGAATGGGTTTGTGCTGTCTGTGTTTAATTCTCCAAACCTCCACTGCAGCACATCAAAATTTGTTTTGCAGTGAAAATTCACCATCTCCCACCATCTTCATTTCATCTGTGTCAGCCAAAGCGTCAATTTTTTTTTGTGCAAATTTGTGCAATAAAAATGTTTTAATAGCTTTATATACTTGTTAAAATCTTTGTTTGCAATACATATAAATAGCATGAAAATATTTAACAATTGCAGCTGATTCGATTCTCAGAAGCTACTTAACCATTTATTTTTCCACCACTTTTTTGTCCAGTCCAACTGATATTTCCAGCCAAAGAACAAGACAAATGATGGACACTAAAATTAAATCGAAAAATTTACTTAAATATCTTTCTATGTTGTTCTTCCAGGACACCTTGCGAATGCAAGGAAATGCAAAGGAAAAAGCATAAAATATAATTCAAAAATCCCATTTTGTGCCCTTCAGGCCTTCCATACTAGTATGGCAGTAGTTCAGCTGTTTTAAAAAGCTGTAAAAAGTAAGAGTAGTGAAAGTGAAAAGAAAGTGACGTGACATGTGGCCAAGTATGGTGACCCATTCTAGGAATTAGTGCTCTGCGTTTAACCCATCCAAAGTGCACACACACACACCGTGAACACACACCCGGAGCAGTGGGCAGCCATTTATGCTGCGGCGCCCGGGGAGCAGTTGGGGGTTCGGTGCCTTGCTCAAGGGCACCTCAGTCGTGGTATTGAAGGTGGAAGAGAGCGCTGTACATTCACTCCCCCCCACCTACAATCCCTGCCGGTACGAGACTCAAACCCACAACCTTTGGGTTAGGAGTCCGACTCTCTAACATTAGGCCACGACTTCCCCATAGTGTAGCAAACTGTCAGCTTGTATTGTACATACAACTTTACTTTTGTCATTAAGGTACATTTGGGACTTTAGATGGCTGTTTAGATGAAAAAAAGAAAAAAAGAACTGTTTTGTCAATGGAATAGAAATGTGGATAATATTCCAGTGTTTATAAACTGTGTACTCCTCTTCTGCCATCACGGTCAATCCTCTGCATCTCTGGTCTTATTGGGTCCTTTAAGAAAACAAAGAAACAAAGGTAAAACAAGGAAAGAGATTGATGTTCTTATCAATCAAAAAATTAACTGCCTCCAGTGATTTATAAGACTAATTTAGGAGGCATTGAGGATTTGCACGTGAATAAGGATACTTGATAAAATGCCAGACAGAAAAAACACAAAAATGCTGTCAACTATGATCTTTCATATTATACGCTTGCCATAATTAATCGTTTACAGTTACAGATCTTCTTAAGACAACTGAAAGACTCGATCTATACTCACAGGAGCAACATTGAACGTCTTTGAGATCTTCTGTCCCTCACTGATGATCTGTAGTTTATAATGTCCGAAGTGTTTAGGCGTGATCTTTCTGATGGTCAGAGATCCTGTATTGTGGTCCAGTTGCAACCTGTCTTTGAATCTTTCTTCATTATATAGGTTTTCCTCAGTCTTTGTTTTATCCCACTTAGCTATGACGGAAAATTCAGCCTGTTTGTTTACATTAGAATCAGCAAACTTCCACCGTATCAGCTCATCTTCCTGGATTTCAGTGACATCCGTGTGTAGCGTGACAGATTCTCCCACCCTCGCTAACACTGACTTAATTTAATCTTTCTCGATAAAAGCACCTGGAAAAAAGACAGGGGTCAAACTTGTTGAGTCTTTTCAACAAACCTCTTTTTACTTATTTTCCTCATTTTAGTCACTGCAACGAATATTGACAGATCTTGCTGATGTTGCTGGTTAAAAGTTGGAACTTTGCCATTTGAAGACATTGGCCAAAAACCATCAGCTTATACCTTAGAAAGGTTGACAAAAGAAAAATACAAATTACGAGGCTATCTAGATCAATTTCTGTGCAATTTGGACCAGTGGCTTCAGGGGGATTTTAGAAAAGTAGGTTTTTCAGAAATTCAAAATGCTGGAAAAAGTCATTTTGATTCATTTTTCCTCCCACAGAACTTCCACAACATTTAAAGGTCTTAAAGGTATCTAGTTGCATTGACTATCCATCGGGTTTACCTTTGGTTTCACTGCTGTTGTGCTTTTCTGAGCTTTAATAGGATAAACATGTGAATGACACTGTGCACCTTCTATATATGTTATTATTTATAAGCTGCTTGTGATGGGCTTTGGTTCATCATGTGACTTTCTTATCACCACCTGCTTTTTGTGGTTATCAGTGTATTACAAAGGTACAGAACAGATTTCAGTACTTCAATAGGTTGGTATATTAACATTATATCAGTTAAATTACGGTATTTAACTGTAAATTTAATTTAAAACCGTAAAACCTAAAACGTTGCTACCGTATTTTTTACAGTAAAATTCCGGCAACCACAGCTGCCGGTTTTTTACCGTAAATTTTACGGATTTTTCTTTACAGTGTAGGTAACACATACCTTGATTAGCTGCTTGTTTAGACTTCATGTGGTGAAAACAATAGAAAACACCACAGAAAACTGCAACCACAGCCAGAGGAAAAATGCAAACCAGCACTAACTGACCTGCGGTCAAACCTGGTGCTATAATGGAAAAAGAAAGCTTCATTAACTGTTCACACAGAATGCGTTTTTCCATTCCGATGCGCTACTTTTCCATTGTTTTCTATGTAAACACGCACTAGACAGACATGTATGGCCGTTGAGCTTGTGTCTCGCATCTTTTGCAGTGTCTCACACACAAGTGCCATGTTTTAAGATGCTGTGTCAAGTTAAAATAATTTCAACTTTAACAAGCAGCGCCGCTCATTAATGTCAGTACCAAAACAGTGAACCAATCAGAAGACCCAGAGGCAGGGCAAGCATTGGCAAGTTGGTGTGGCAACTTTTTTTGTTTTACGGCAACATGGCAGAGGAGGTTCTGTGCTGCGCTTTTTAAAAAAGCATTCCCTGAGCGCTGCATCTCGCATTTTTAGACGCAAAGACGCGTTATGTGTAAATGGTCCCTAAGAGATTGCTGTTCACATAAATGAACATGACCAACAGAGAACATCTAAGTAAATAAATGTTAAGATATCCACGCTGCTGTACCTGAACATGTGTGACAGAGTTGAGTGATGTCGATGGTCAGAGATCCAGTCTGATTGTCCAGCTTCAGTCTGTCTCTGAATCTCCCGTCAGGACCATCATATGTGGAGATCTTTTGAACCAATCCGTTGATCTGAGCTATACGAGTGCGTTCAGGTCCAAACGTCCATGTTATCAGATGATCTCTCTTTATTTTAGTAACACTAGTCTGTAGAGTAACTGAATCTCCCTCCATCACTGACTTCACATCAACACCAAACACACCTGATGAACAAACAGAAACAGTTTCTCAGATGGAGATTTAAGTAGGACATCTCATAATAGACTTCGCTGTTTTCTTCTTTATTCAATCTGATTGTATGGAAAAAATGTGATGTGGATAATCTGTCTAACATCCTTTCAGAAGAATGAAAATCAGTTGAATTTGGAAGGACACCAATGATGTCTAAATTTCCATTTTCGAGGGAACTATGACTTTAAATCCAATCCAATGATCCTGTTTGTTTTTTTTAATCCTGTTCAAATCTTTACAGATCCAAAACCACCTTTAAAGTCCAGCAGGATATTTTATGAATAGAGGAACAAAAAAAAATGTTGAAAGGTCAGCCATGCTCTTTGAACGTAATCTTTGTATTCATGTTGGTTTATACATTTTTAAATATTTGGGTCTGTAATACAAGATTCTCAGGCTTTTAATGAGACTTTTCCTCGTTACAATACAAAGACATCTTCTGACTTTAAGCCTCTCAAAATAAGTATTGAATGTAAATGAATTGTAAATTGCTATATAGTAGCCTAATATTTGTATAAATTATATGTAATACAAAATTGCATGAAATTAGGCCTATATTCAAATAATGTTTAGGCTAGATATTTCGTTGAAATTTGTAAAGTGAAAGTGAAAATTAATTCTTGAAACGATATAAATCTACTCACCACCCAGGAGTAACGGGACTAAAATGATAACAATCATTTGCATAATTCTGTAAATGGGAGTAAAAGATGAGAGAACAAAGTTGTCCATTGTAGTTGTTAAACTGTTCCGTTGAGTCTCAAAGCCTTCGGCGTCCAGTCGGGGTTTCAAAACAACCTAAACCTCAAGCTGATAGCAACGATTATTAACATAGGCTATTATTTCATTTTTCACTTTGGATCAATATGTAACGGTTATACAAGTGAAAGCTAAAAAGTCCTTGTACTTATGCCGGGAAAACAGTAGGCTAAATCTGACCTTCGTAAAATAAGGAAGTTCTTTGGAACTTCCGAATACGCATATTTCATGGAATCTGACATATATGAAACACATCTCAGATCCGCATCCATCTGATCAGATCCAGCACGACCTGTAAATGTGTCAAAACGTTAAAATTAAAAGTCAAAATGTTTTATTGAAGGTGTGTGTGAGCAGACAGTAATGGTTGGGTTATAAAGTGTGTAAGTGCCACCATAGGTCACAGTTCAAGGTCAAACTTTTTTTTTCTTCCACTCTTTTAAAAATGTAATAATTTTAACGGTAAAAAAACACACAGTAAAATCCTATTAATAAGCTAACTATAAGTCACCTTACTATATACAGTTAACATTTACGAGTTTACAGCAAATCTGTGTTAGCATCGTATAATGGTCTGATGAACATTTTTTTTTTTTTTTTTTAAAGTAATAAAATAAATTCATATTTTATCCTTAATGAGGCTGAAATTACATTCAAACCAAAATTGCAGCTTCTCATTCACATTATACAACTATTCACAAACACCCACTTTAGTATAGATTGTCCACTAGAGGGCGGGAAACGGTCAAAAATGTTGTTTTGTTCATTAACGCTGATCAAAACTGTAAAATTGACACCAATGTAACCAGTGGCGAAACTGGTTGGAAGTTGGTCATTTTCCAAATGCATTTAGCCTAATTAAAACGTCTTATGTCACTCTAACTGTATATATGTAGTTAAAAAAATATTAAAAGCGAGTTTTCATGGTCAATTATAGGCAGTTTCTTATTTTTCCCTCTTCCTGCCCTGTTGAAAAAACCAGCATATGCTGGTTAGGTATGTTTTGATGCTGGTTTGAGCTGGTCCTTTGCTGGTTTATGCTGGTCCTTTGCTGGTTTAAGATGGTCCTTTGCTGGTTTATGCTGGTCCTTTGCTGGTCCTTTGCTGGTTTATGCTGGTTTATGCTGGTC